AAAATAAAATAAAATGCTAAAAGAAAAAGAGAGAGAACTAATCCCATAGCCATCCACTAGAGACAGAGCAAGAGCTGAAATGCCATTCTGCAAAAGAACTAAGGGGTGTTCCTGGTCCTATCAGCTTCACAGACAGTTGGTTTATAAAACAACTGGGGGAAAAACTAGAGAAGTCTTACTTTTGGATCTGCTGGGAAAATGATGTTGTTGTGTACGTGTGTTTTCACTTAACTTTTTAAATTGTTAAAATGTTAATTTTAAAAACATCAAAGCAGATCCATTGAGCATAATCTTACCAGCCTAACGCTACAGATCTCACTTTGGAAGGTATCCCCAAGTCTTTGCCTATTTGTACACACATTATCACATCATTATAGTCCTAGTCTACACCCAGGTTTGCAGTCTGTGTTTTACAGATTTTTTTCTTTCTTTTAAAAATTTTTTTTTTATTTTAAATATGTAGGGTACAATTCAGGATTAGGTATACAAGTAGTCATCGTACAGGTAAAGTTTGGGTCTCCTTTTAGTCCCCACTTTACCTGGTTTAAGATCAGGTACCCTTATTGATGTTATGTGCCCCCATCTCCTGGCAGTGTGCTGCTACTACCAATCCCTTTCCCGCCGCCCTCCTTCCCCCCACTCTCGCAGCGCGGCTCTGCGGGCTGGGATGGAGAAAGAAGGGAAGTCCCCGAACTCGCGAAAAATTGGTCCAGCGGGCGGCGGACAAAAGTTTCCGAGCGCGCTCCACAGCTGGGCGGCGGAGCGGGCCCCGGCGGCCGGCCCCGCCTCGGATGCTCCGGGCCTCCTTCCTGTGCTCGTGACGGCGCGGCCCCCCCGCGATGCAGGCTCGCTCCACGCCGAGGGCTCCCACGAAAACACGTACCCCGCCAACGGAAGGGCAAGGGAACAATGCGCGCCGGCTCGGGCTCGGGCCCGGCCCCCTCCTCCCCCGGGGCCGTGGTCTGCGTGACCGCCGCCGCGAGCGGGGAGCCGGCGAGGGCGCGGGTCTGCCCGCGGCCCCCTCCCGGCTGGCGCCGTCCACCCGGGAGGATCAAAGTCCGCGGAGCGGGGCGCGGCGGATGCTCCCACCAAGCAGCCCCGAGCGGTCAGCCCCGAGAGAGCACCCCCGGCAGACGGCCCCGGCCGGCACCCCCGATACCTTGCGGCGGCGGCGGCGGGCTGGCGAGCGCCGTCATCTCCGCGCTTCCCGGCTCGAGAGGGACTCGAAAGTATGTAGGAGAAAAGTTTCCCCTCCCACACGGGGGGGGAGGATGTCGGGGGAGAGAGGGCGGAAGATGGAGAGCCGCGCTGGGAAGATGTTTCTGGCCGGCGGTGCGCGCACCATCCGAGTCCCGGCGGTGCTGGTTAAAAATAAACTCGGCGGCGCGGGTCGGGCCGGATTCCTGCGCTCGGACGGCTAATATGGATGCGCATCAGGTCCTGCTGGCGGGCGCTGCGGCGGCTCGCGCCGGGGGCTGGTTGGCAGAGCCAGCCGCTCGGGAAGGGGAAAGGAGCAGAGGAAGGGGAGGAGGAGGAGGAGGAGGAGGAGCGGCCCGGCGCGCAGCCCG